ACAGGCGCCCGCCACAACACCTGGCTATTTTTTGGTTGCAGCCATCATTGTTGTTTGGCGGGCCCGGGCTGGGGATACGAACCCGCCACCTTAGGTGTATGTGGCTGGCGCCTTAGCCTCTTGAACCAGAGGTGCGGAGCCTTTTTTTCTTTTTTTGAGACAGAGTTTCACTCTGTTGCCCCAGGCTAGAGTGCCATGGTGTCTGAGTTGACAGCAACCTCACACTCTTGCACTCAAGAGATCCTTTTGCCTGAGCCTCCTGAATAGTTACAACTACAAGTATACCACTGCACCTGGGTAGATTTTTCTATTTTTAGAAAATATGGGGTCTTGCTCTTCCTCAGGTTGGTCTTGAACTCCTGAGCTCAAGCAAACCATGCACTTCAGCCGTCCAGAATGCTAGGAATCACCAGCCCAGTTCTTAAGTTCTGATAAATGACTAAGTACAAATTTCTGCAAACTAACAATGGAAAGCTCTATATGATAGGAAATGTTAAAGAAGAATATGTACACCTGTCACGGGTGTTCTTAGGATTTCTGAAGACATTACCAATAAGATCATGACACACACATTTTAGACATGATACAAAAGAGAACAGAAGGTTTACAATGCAGCCTCTGTAAGCCATGATATTGGCTCTTACAGTAACCTTGAAAGAATATCACTTAAGTAGAGTCCTTAGAGAATTTTAGAGCCTGGGACAGAAAATGCCTCTGCGAGAAAACAAGAGAAAGAGATCCAGGCTTCTCAGAAACCATTTCCATTGGAGCAGAACTTCCAAAACAACATTTTAAGGTTGATTTTCCTCCTAGACTTTATTCACTTCCACCTACCTGGGTGACCAGCTAGGGCCTCACCAACATTCCAAGGCTCTTGACTTTGCTCCAGACAGGTGATCAGGTCCGGCTTAGAGGCAGCAAGACCTATTTCATTTGAAAACAATACCAACTCTTGTTATTGTTTTTGTTCAATAACAATAATTAGAATTCTACAATTACCAACCTAGTAGTGTGCTCAGGAGAGAAGAACACTATAGAAGTTTCTAGAAAATTAAACCCAAAATACTGCTTAACAGAACCATTAGAATATTTAGAAATTATTTTAAACTTGTGGGTGCTTAGCTCCACTATCCAGTGTCTGAATTAAAAACTGGTGGTATAAATTGGATTATAAGGTCTGGACAATAATGTTTTATGCCACTAAATTTTTAGAATTGTCACCCATATAGAATGAAGTGTACAGATCAGTTCAAAAAAGGGAAAGGCTCATTTCAAGATGAAACATCTTGAACATTTTCTTTTCTATAACAAGTCCCAAAGTTTTCCTTGAAACCAGTGATCTGAAACTCATTTATGCAAAGTGGAAACTCCCATAAAATATCCCACAAAGAAAGCAAATAAAACCCTATGTTGCATTAGGAATCCTAAAAGGAGGTTTTCCTCACCCACAGAGACCAGGTTTCTGTAGTTCTCTGACATCACATCCTTATACAAATTCCGCTGAGCAGAATCCAGGCACGTCCACTCCTCCACAGAGAAGTCTATGGCTACATCTTCGAATGTTAACAATTTCTGTAAAAATAAAAAAAAAAAGAAAAAGAAAACACATATTTACAAAGTAGCCAAGGGCAGCATTCTCATTTTGAGTAAATTTAAAATGAGAGTGAAGAGACCTGCCTTTGACAGATAGGAATGAGCAGAATTATCTAGTAATTAACGTACTAATACTCTCTACTGTATTATCTAACTTCTAGGACACAGAATAACAAAAAAAATCCATAAAACAAGTGTAGATATTGTACTTGTCTAGATGATTAAGTACAAAATCAAAAGGATCAACACAACTATATATGCTTTTGAGTGGAGTATATGTATATATTGTATATAATAAGCTGTATTTGTTTCTCATATGGAAAAGTCATAGTAAGCATGTTGAGTTAGAAAGGTACTACTAAAATTTATATATATATATATATATATATATTTTATAGTAAACCAAAGATCTTACTAAAATCTAGATTCTAATTCAGGAGATCTGGAGTGGAAAATGAGTGTTTACATTTCTAACGAACATCTCAGCACTGTCAACCCTTCTAGTAGAAGAATATTGTGTCAAACATACAGTAAATGGTACAGTCTGAGTTTTATCCTATTTCATCTGACCACTAAACAAAATAAGAAAGTTTATTTCCCAAGGCAATCTATAAGCAAAAAAACCAAAAAACAGGCCCAGTGCCTGTAGGATAGTGGTTAGGGCGTCAGCCACATACACAGGGGCTGGTGCATTTTAACCTGGCCTGGGCCTGCTAAACAACAATGATAATAACAACAACAACAAAATAACCCGGCGTGGTGGCGGGCACCTGTAGTCCCAGCTACTTGGGAGGCTGAGGCAAGAGAATCACTTAAGCCCAAGAGTTTGAGGTTGCTGTGAGCT